GAAGTTGACATAGTTGCCAAAGTATAAAAAAATCTTGACTCCATTTTAAATCAAATAGGTCACATAATTATTGCAAAAGTATTACCATCTCTTTACAACGACTATTTAAATTCTTACGTGACATTTTTGAAATAAAACACACTAATTTTGTTCTAAAAAGAACAGATTTTATTAAATAGGGTAAAAATATAATACAAGAGGTATTCACTTTAAAATTTAAAATAATAAAGTACAAAAAGTGTCAACACCGCAACTGTCAAATAAGTGTTACCAATTTATGCCAAAATTTTACCTTCGTTCGATTACAGTTACAGTGTGTTCCGAACAAATGTTCTTCATAAAAAACGCTTTATAATGCAATTATACAAATTAAATGAAACATATTATTGTGTATTTCTTTAAGTTAACATTAATAGAAATTTTGAAATATCATTTCAACGCGTATATAATAAAATATGTCTAGTGGCTGTAATGCCAGTGTACTCGGTAAAGTGATTCTAAAAAGAACACACCTAAACCCTAAATATTTCGTGTTGGTATCATATGACGTCACAGGCTATGACGCCGATGACGTGCATCGTTATATAAATTAGATGAAGTGTACCTAACTTTTTATTGTTGATACAAAACTAATAAATACTAACCTTGGTATATGCATATACAAAGCTGTAAGTTACAAAAAGAAACAAAACCTTAACCGTACGAAACTAGAAGTTAATGTCCGACACAACACCACAGCTGTCCTGGTTAAGTCCCCTTAAGACTCTGGCGGTCCTTGGGGCTCCGAAAAAACGAACGAAGGAGACTGCTTTAGTCCTGGAGACAATCGTTTCTTGGTGACCAATGGGTGGCAGTAGGTCTTTGGTTCAACTGAAATTAATATTAATTATTGTCCTAATCGGGCGAAATCTACAAAAAATAACACTTAGAGAAACATCAAGGCACCCCAAGATGACTGTCAATGCGCACTCTCACATCGAATTATCAAAATAAACAAACATTTTATTTTATCAGATTATTGTCATGCTGTCAATTTATTGCGTCTGCGCATTTAAAGAAGATGTCGTAAATTAGGCATAAAACTTTTTATACCGAGTAAGTATACAAAAAACAGAAAAAACCTAATTAGGTGTCCGATAAATTTACGGTCTAAGCTCAAGGCCACATGATACATATGACAAAACTCGGATTTTATACTTTTAATATTTCAAAAGAAAATGAAGACATCAATAAAATGATATGCTTATAAAATTGAAAGATTTAATTGCTCACCTGGGTTTTAAATAATCACTGCGGCAGATCCGGAAGCCGGGTTTTTTCTATCTAGAATCTTTATCATGTATATTTTTTATCATATATATATATATATACTTTATTTTATGTTGTTGTAATTCCTCCCTGGATGTTCGGGGAAAATATTAGATCAACTCCCAGATTTTCTACCCGATTTTGAGACGAAAGATGCCGGTAAAGGCGTGGAGAAGTACCTCTCTGGTTGAGTCGTTGGCCAAAACTGACTTTAGCGCCTCTTGGCCACTTTATCGTGCGTATCGCATCGTGTCGTCAATTGTCCATAAACGTTTCATAAAGGGATTGTGAGGGGTTTTAGGATTTTAATAATTAATTATATTAATTAGTCATAGTTGTGACTGCTACAACATGCAAGAATATTCAGAAAGTTCGAAGCGGATATGAGTAATAGACAGTTTGGCCTTCGTAACGGCTTCGGAACAGTGGAAGCTCTGTATAGTTTCACAACTATTGCCCAAAAATGTCGAGGCCAACAAATAGATCTTTTCGTTGCGTTTATAGACTATGAGAAAGCTTTCGACAAAGATAAAGATAACATTCTCATGGAATGTCTAAAAAGAAAAAGACTCGACAAAAATGACATTAACGTAGTGAGAAATCTCTATTGAAACCAACAGGCTGTGGTAATATTAGATGGAAATAGCACGGATACGCAACAGATAAATAGAGGAGTGAGACAGGGCTGTGTACTTTCACCATTACTATTTTATATATATAATATATATATATATATATATATATATATATATATATATATATATATATATATATATATATTCCGAGTTATTATATAAAGAGTTATTTACCCAATCACTTGAAAACTGTACAGAAGAGATCAAGATAAATGGTGAAAATATAAATAACATCCGTTATGCTGACGATACAGTCATTATTGCTGAAAGTGAGACATACCTGCAGATGTTACTAAAGACAATTTGTGATGCTGGGGAACAATTTGGTTTAACAATAAAAATAAAGAAAACAAAAACCATGGTTATCCTATAAATAGAGCAATCAAGAGCAGCCTTTTTGAAGACGAGGAAATTTCTGAGTAACCAAAGACTCAATCTGCAAATCCAATATCGGATGGTAAAATAATACATCCACTCTATTATTCTTTATAGCGTCGAAGTCTGAACTGTTAATGTTGACTAAGAAGAATTTTGTAGATACCAATGACCGATCATTACGAACGAAATGAATTTGCACAGAATGGGAAGCGACAGAGAACTTTTGACCACCATTAAAAGGCGAAAGACAGCATATTTGGGGCACATACTTAGATATGATAAGTACGAGTTGTTGCAGCTGATTATGAAGAGTAAAATCGAAGGAAAAAGGGGGTCCTGGTAGACGACAAATATCCTGGCTGAAAACATTCGCGACTGGACCGGGTTAAATAGACAGGCGACAGAAGAAAAGCAGAAGGGAGACGAATTTGCAATGGTTTGAGCCAACCTTGATTAGTGGAGATGACACTAGAAGAAGAAGAATTAACTAGAGTAATGTAAAACAGTTATGTATTTTTAAAAATTTATTGAATTAACATAATACATATTTTAATTTTCTAAATATAAATTAGCCTACATTTTACAAATATTGTTTATATGTACGTATGTATGGATATGTGTCTGAGGGAGCCTTGTAACTGGCTACCTACATCATGAGAGTTGGAAATCTTTTGATTCCAAGCCTTACTTCAAAGGATTTGTGAATGGATGCATCTCCATAGGTTTGGTTCTTCAGTGACCGTTGAAGGATAAGGATTCTTAATGTGAGTAAATATAGCTCCAGAGAAATAAAATCACTTTTGAGTTTATCGATTTATAATTAAATCTTTTAAGAGTAGAGAGAGTAACCCGTTTCACGGGTATTCTCAAGGACAAATTGGAAAAGCAGATGACTAATGCTGAAGAACAACAAGGTTTTACAAAAGGGCGGTCTATAACAGACGCAGTATTTATAATAAAACAAATAAAAGAAAAAAGCTATAGAGTTCGGCATGCCAGCGTATATTTGCTTCATTGATTTGACGAAGGCATTTGACAGAGTTCGCCTGGGAGACATTCTAAATATATTAATAGAACATGAAACACCGACCAGTATAACAAAGATACTCCATAAACTAAATAACAACAACGTAACCATAGTTAGAGCAGGAGACGAATTCACTGAAAATATTCCAACACCGGGAGGAATTAGACAAGGCGACAGTTTAAGCCCCTTCTTGTTAAATCTTCTCATGGGAAAAATTATCAACAAAGTAACATCTCTTAATCTCGGATATAGAATGGGCAACAAAAGAATTGGTATGGTGTGTTACGCAGACGATGCAGCAATTATTGCCGAATCAGAAGATGATCTCCAAAGGCAGCTCTTTCAGTTCTTTCAAACAAGCCGACTACTAAATATGAACATCTCTACCAACAAAACTAAATGTATGACAATAGCAAAAGATCCGCTCAGATGTAAGTTAGTGGTTGAGGACAACCCATAGAACAGGTGATGCAATTCAGATATCTGGGCATAAATATATCAAGCACCCACGACCCAGTAAAGGACCTGAGGAGCCAGATCAACAAAGCATCTGCACTGTCAGGATGTCTGCGGGAGATAGTCTGGTCAAATCCGTATATGCGCACAGATAGTAAAATTAGAATCTATAAGACTTGCATACGACCGATCATGACATATGGCATAGAAGTGCGCGAAGATACTAACAAAACGAAACAGATGCTAAGGGTTGCCGAAATGAAAACCCTAAGAACAATAATGGGGAAAACAAGAAGAGACAGAGCGAGAAATACAAACATTAGAGAGCAGTGCAAAATTCAAGATATTGTAAGATGGGGAAGGCAGCGCAAGAGAATGTGGTACAACCATGTAAGACGAATGGATGAGAATAGACTCCCAAAAATTGCCCTAGAAAACAATCCGCCCGGTTCAAGACCCCCCGGAAGACCACCTAAAAGATGGAGGGATAGTTGGCAATCTACCTTCCAAGAAATTAACCAGAGGCAGCTTCAGAATTAAACAGATCGAAAGATCTACAAAAAGTAGTAGAAGAAGAAGAAGAAGAAGAAGAGTAGAGAGGCCCAACACGGCCGTAACTTACTATACAATATCAAATGTACTCTTTCTTTATAACACGTGAAAATAAACACGAGAGAATAAAACGAGAAAATGCCATAATTCGGCGGAGAGAAATGTTATATTTAACACGTGAATTGCGAGTTTTTAACTACCCGCTGTGATGGCTCCATGGCCATGTGTCAACTTGAACTGCTCTTACTGCACTGATAAAACACTACATAATGCGTAAAATAGGAAGATTACCCTTATTTTATTTAGGTATGAAAATAATTAAACAGGGTCAGACGCCAGGGTGTCGCGTTCAAACTTAATAAAGTGTGTTCTAGTTATTATACACTAAGAAAAGTCAAAGAATTATATTTTTATTTTATATTTTAAAACAATATGTTCATTTCTGGAACAGTGTCCTTGGCTTTATTGAATTCGGAGGCTACATTCATTAGCAATTTTATTACATTAACTTATTTTTTTTTCAATATCAAGGTTATACATTATATACTATAAATAAGAATATAAAGTAATAAAAATCACAAACATAATATCAGAACATGGATAACCTGAAACGGAAGACTCATGTTGTAAATTTTGAACATTTTTTAGTTTTTCCCTCCGATATCATAACAATGACAGGTATCTAAGGTTGGTCCAACGCAATATCCGCCAAAATGACCCACCGATCGGCAATAATCGCTGCAAGGTACTACATTGCATCCACTACCTGTAACAATATACAATAAAAAATATATAAATGTATTATGCTGCGGACAAAATGTAAGGAAGAAATAAATAATAGATTAAATAATAAATAATATATTTCTATAATTTTAGACTTTGATGAGGGGGGATTTCTCCATTTTTCCTCCCCGTATATCCGCTCCTGAAAGTTTTAAGCAGTGTAGGAGCCAAAGTATCGTATGTTAGTGGACTACTGTTATAAAAACCCAATAAATATACTCCAAATCATTGGGAGTGGCTAATTTCAGGGCCTACGATACAATAGACAGAAACAAATTAATAGAAACGCTAAAAGAATTTCAAGTGCCAGAAAAAATAATAAGATTGGTAAAAAGGACAATTAGACAAACCATTTGTTCTGTGAAATGCAACGGTACAGTCTCAGAAGAATTCGAAGTGTAAAAAGGTGTTCGTCAAGGAGACCCGTTGTCTACATTGCTATTCAATATAGTTCTAGAAAAAATTGTAAGGATTAGTGGGATAAATAGATCCGGAGCTATTTTATACAAGGAGCACCAATGCTTAGCATACGCTGATGATGTGATTCTCATTGCAAGAAATGTAAAAGAACTATCAATAATAATAATAACAGATCGATTAAAGCTGTCGCCGCTTCTCCGCCCCAATTTCCATCTTTTTCTGTAATATGCGCCAACTTCTCCGTGGTCGTCCTCTCTTTCTTCTTTCAGGAGGGATCCATTCCAGTACTCTTCTAGGCCACCTGTATTCTGGCATTCTTTTAACATGTCCGAACCAGATTAATTGAAGCCAGACCAGATTAAAAAAATATAGCAAAAAGACTGATTCCAGAAAGCTCTAAAATGGAACTGAAAGTTAATATTAATAAGTCGAACTACATGAAGATCTCGAGCAAAAAGAAATAAATACCAGGAGCTTCTTTAAATTGGAGATGGGATGGATCAGTTGTAGAATTTGAGAAGGTGGATAAATATATATACTCTTATTGATCAGACATGTAACGAAGAAACTGAAATCAACCTGAGACTGACCAAGAGCAGAAGGTGTGCTGGAGCCATGAGCAAAATCATTAAGGCCAAACATATATCTCGTAATACAAAAATTAAAGTATACAAAACTATAATTAGACCCACAATGCTATACGCTGCCGAGTGGACTATGAACAAAACCATACAGAACACAGAACAGAATGTTTGGTGGAAAAGTAGTAGTAGTAGAAGGAGAATGGAGAAGACGAACTAATGCAGAAGTGTACCATTTATATGCTAATCCTACAATAACAAAAGTGGTAAAGAACGTAGACTAGAATTGCTCGAACATCAATCGAAGTCATCTAGAACGAATGCCAGATAATAGACTGATCAACAGTATTGCTTGAAGAGTACCCGAGGTCAAAAAAAGAGAGGAAGACCAAGAAAGAAATGGAAAGATGTAGCTGATCACGAAATTATACAGTCAGTAACTCAAAAAACAGATACTAATGATTTAGATCACATCATTGATAAAACATTCTTTTTTAAACAATGATGACAGAAGATATAAATATTATGTCGCTAAATCCAAAGTCTAAATCCTCCATAAGTCGAAAAATTTTTTGGCTTCCCCCTTTAAGTTAGATTTATAAGAGTTTCACTGTATAAGGAAGAAATAATTCAATAATAGTTATACATAACATCTAAGGATTTCAGAACATAACTTAAATTTTAAATTTAAGATAGAAAAAAAAACAATCTGCTTTATAATAAATCTAAATCGTGCAAAAATAAAAAATGTAGTATATTATATTTTATCATTTGTCCTAGTCATTAAAAAAGCTGAATTATTGGTATTATAGGTCTGAATAAAAAACTATATGCCTCTACATCTAAACCGATTTTATCATTAGGTATATCAAAATAAAGAGTAAAAATAAAATACGATCAACTCTTACCTGCTAATGCAACTGTAGCAAGTACGAAGACAACCAAAAACACCAACAAATACTTCATTTTGATAAGAAAATATATCTTTATAAATAAGAAGCTGGTAAGTAAAGTTTACTATAGTGTTTTAGTTTTGAAGACTCAGTTGTTAATGATAATGAATGCAGCATTCTTCTTATATTATATATTTGTCCGTATCTCAGCTGATGACCCACATGTAGTATGCACACAGGTAGATGAAAATCCCCGTGTACGTGTTTTTAACCTTTGTCTATCGTAAAATTGTAAAATCGCGTAAACATTTCCTATGAAATAACGTTTATAATGCAATTCTCACTGTTTTCTTATCAGTTTCGCGCTAAATGAAGGATTAGTTATTATGAATTGTTTATTTAATGTACTAAATTTAACTAGAACTGGTGTTAGAATTCTAGAACAGTAAATAAGTGAAAAACCCATTCCGTAATAATAACACAATATGTTATAAAGGTTGATTGACTTAAATCCAGTTATTTGGACCAGTTTTATTCTAAAATAATATCAAAATATACTTTACAAGTAGAACAGGGAAAAGCAGTTGATGTTAGAAAATTGATAGAAAAACATTAGGATTTAAACTGGAAGAGTATTGAAGAATTAAGTTATTTTAAACACGTTTTAGAATGAGACAACTTTGAAAAACATTTACCTGAAGACAGAGTTTATAAATTTAACTTAAACAACAATACTACTAAAACAAACAGGTTCCTCTGTTGATATGAATATGACAAACACAATATGAATAAATATAAATAGTCGCAAAGACGAATAGAAATATGAAATAGTTTTTTTAAAGCATTTGTATGAATTTCTTTCAGATATTCGAAGTAAGTCATAATGCAGCCTATTTCTTTTAGTTTCTGGAAAATTTTTTTGTTTTTGTTTTGGTCTTATGTAATTTTAGAAGGCTGCGGGACGCATCCCTTACTTTTTCAAGGCACGTAATATCTTTTTTATGCAATTTTTTACGTATATACTGCATAAAACGAGACCTTACAGTATATACTTGTGAAAACTGCTAGTATTTCTTATTTTACGTCCACATGTACTTCTCGGTCATCGGCCTCTTTAATTACTATTCAATAATTGTTTTCGCTAGTGTCTACTGCAGTAACCAGTATCATCTTACTAGTATCGTAGTGTTCCGTATTTTCCGCGCAAGGAAGAGGGAACTGTAAAGCAAAATCCGTACAGAAAAAAGAAGGCCAAAAAGCCATCATTCTGAAAGGGACAAGGACAAGAGGCAAAGTATTGAATTACAATGTGCTGGCGCATGTCTAGCACCCAAGAAACAAGTGACATTGCACCAGAATGGAAAATGGGGGGAGCACGTGTGAGAGGTGGTCCAGAAGGCTGCGAATAGTGCGGCTGCGTTGGGGAGGGTGATGCCCAACATTGGGGGACCCAAATCCGAAAGTAGGAGGATCTTACACGGTGTTGTATAGTCGATCGTCTTCTACGAACACTAGTCTGAGGCGAGGCGGTAGAGATAACGGTCTATACGAGGCTCATGACACGAGTGGACAGAACCAGTCTGTTGCAAGTGGCATGCGTCTACAGGACTGTGTCTGCGGCAGCCTTGTGGACCATCACTGGATGTATTCTCTATGAGAGAAGAGGCCCAAACCTTACTGTGACCGAGAGAAGACAGGAAAGGGAAGGTCAACTGAAAGATGGCAAAAAGAATGGAACACCACGGAGGATGTGGCACAGTGGGCGAAAATGCTGATCCCGAACATAAGAGATTGGGTGGACTGTAGCCACAGCGACTGGATTATTTTCTGACGCTCACAGGACACGGATTTTTAGGGCCTATCTTTTTGGATCGGAAAGGGTGACCCAGATGAATGCCTATACTGTGAATACTCGGACACTGTGACACATACGATGTTAGATTGTAGCAAATGAATAGTGGAAAGGAACAGAATGGAAAAAGAGACAGGTGTGAATTTTGTTACAGTGAGAGAAATGCTTGAGAGAATGATTATAAAATAAATCAGGTTGGACTAACATACACAGCAATATCCGTGCAGTAATCAAGAAAAAGAAAGAGGAAGAAAAACAGCTGTACCAACGGCAAAGGTAATCAAAGATGCTGAAAGTTGAAGCTAGAAAAGTGGGTCAGACTGTATGAGTTAGAATGCGTGAGTGCGACTGTGGGGAAGGAGGAAATGCACGTCTGGGAATGATGCCGACCTAGGAGCGATGAGGATCTTCTACGTGCTACCTTGAACGAGACAGGGAGCCTCCTTGATGATGAATAGAGTTTGGATGTGTATGAATGAATAAAAGTAGTGCTTCGGAAGTGATGCCGGCCTTACAGCGGCCATTCCGTTTCCGGATGGCTGGATGACAGAGGAGGGTCTGGTTTAGCAGGTAGGCGTTCGGCGTAGACGCGGCGACGATAGGGCATTTTAAAGTACCTCGGGAACTATCAAAGGGAGAACGAAGAACGAATTCTGCACTAAGGTCAGTCAGGCGGCGTCCTGGACTGAGTCTTTTGAACTGAGAAAGACTGAGAAAATGTCTTTTGAAGATTTCAGACCCCCCCTCTATAAAGACAAAAAAAAGTTTCGTAGTTTTAGGTCATTTTCTTACTAAGGATATTTAAAATTATTATTATTCTGATTTAAATATTTTAAATATATGATTTCTTCGTTGACAGCTAATCCAGAGTAAAAATTAATTTCAAATTTAATTTGTCTTTAGTGTATTTGATAAATTCACATTTGAATTATTTTTGATGCTAATTACTTCATCGAACAGTAATAATAATTTTATCCTATACCAACATTAATTATTACAGATTTTAACTATCAGTAATGAAACATTAATATATTCATAGATGTAATCGGGTAAAACATTGCACCATATTATGATGAATTAAAACTTGGTAATTATTATAAACTAGGTACAGAGGAATTAAATACCTACACTATTATTTTTATTAGAAAGTAGAAAACAAGGTAAATCCCCTAAATAACTTTTACAATGAATCTAGAATACATCAAATAATTGATAATTGTGGGTTAAGGCGGAAATA